CAGATATTTTTTTGCTTTATTGAAGGTGCTTGATAATATATTTGTAAAAAAAAAAACCTGTAAAATAAATGTATTTTTCTGCTGAACTTCCGGTGTGGTCATTTTATTGAAGGTGATTTGTTGCAAGAATTTAGGAGATATCTGTAAAATAGCAATATGTAACTGTTGAACTTTTGGCACTGCCCTTTTAATTAAGGTATTTGATCACAATAATATTAAGAAAAAGCATAAAATAACTATTTCTCTTCTGAACTGCCCTTTTAATCAATGTATTTGATCATAATAATATTATAATTTACACTTTATTAATCCCTGTGGGGAAATTCTTTTTATGCCTCCCTCAACTTGCTCTTTGTAGAAGGGCAGCCACCCGTAGCGGCGCCCAGGGAGCTAGGGGTTGAGGGTCTTGCTCAAGGACCCGCAGACGTGCTGAGGCTGGGCTTGAAGCGGCGACCTTGTGATTACAGGCACACGGCTTAGCCCACTGAGCCACACGCTGCCCCCTTAATATTAATTTCTTAATATTAATTTATTAATATTAATTAATTTCTTAATATTAAGAAAAGCTGTAAAATAACAGTATTTATCTGCTGAACTTTTGGAATTGCCCTTTTAAGTAAGGTATTTGATCACAATAATATTAAGAAAAACTGTAAAAAAACAGTATTTATTTGTTGAATTTTTGGAATTGCCCTTTTAATTAAGGTATTTGATCATAATAATATTAAGAAAAACTGTAAAATAACAGTGTTTTTATGTAAAAGAATAACGTTGTGTCATCTGCAAATTTCACTATGGTATTGGAGGTGCGGATGGGTGTGCAGTCGTGTGTGAATAGGGTGAAAAGGGCTGGGCTGAGGACACAGCCCTGTGGTGCTCCTGTGCGCAATGTGAGAGTGGATGATATGCGGTTTCCCACACTGAAATTTTGTGGTCTGTTGGTGAGAAAGTTCAGAATCCATGAGCAGAGAGTGGTGGTTAGCCCCAGGTTGGTGAGCTTGGTAGTCAGTTTGTTAGGGATTATCGAGTTAAAGGTGGAGCTGAAGTCAATAAATAACATTCTGGTGTATGTGTCGGGATGCTCCAGATGAGACAGGGTAGCGGAGGCAGTGTCTCATGCCCTGAGTAGGAACCGCACCTTTCTGTCGAGCCATGGCTTTTGGTTTGAGTAGACCTTGGTGGTCACGCTGGTCAGCACTGTGTCAGTATAGAAGGCGATGTAATCCAGCACTGATGAGCTGTATTCCTCTAGGTCTGTTTTTTCTGCAAACATCTCTCAGTCTGTGTTTTCAAAACAGTCCTGCAGTCGAGATGTGGATTCTTTACTCCAGACTTGAACAGTTTTAACAGCGGAACTTGTTCTGCAGATTAAAGGTCTATACGATGGAATCAATTCAAGTGAATATGGGCAGACAGTCCAAGATGTGAGGATGAAATAGCTATATAAGCTTCAGAAACATTTGTGTAGACCTGATCCAAAATGTTATGGTCTCTGATGGGGAAATGCACATTTTATGTAGTTTGGGCATTGCAGATAGAAGGTATGCTTGATTGAAATCTCCTGCTATAATGACAGCTCCGTCTGGGTGTGCATTCAGCTGACTGTTATTAGCATCCTGCAGCTCCTTCAGAGCTAGCTTAATGCTAGCCTGTGGTGGAATAAACACAGCTGTTAATAGCATCCTGCAGCTCCTCCAGAGCTAGCTTAATGCTAGCCTATGGTGGATTATACACAGCTGTTATTAGAACAACGAGAAACTTGTTCGGCGAGTAAAAAGGTCTGCACTTCAGTGCCAGATATTCAATGTCCGGGGAGCAATGTGTCTTAATAATGTCCGTGGATGTGCACCAGTTATTGTTGACATAAATCATGTTATCAGTTAACTTAATCAATTAACTGATATCAATTAACTTAATTAGTTCCTAGACGTTCTCCCAGCTGAATCCTTTTAAACTTTCTTGCTTTGTCAGCCATTTATTGCCCCCGTGCCAACTTTTCTGGGACCTGAAGCAGGCATCAAATCTGAGATGAGCTCATTTACTGGATAAAGGTGTACAATTTCCCAGTTTGAACATTTGTTATGTTATCTATGCTCTGTTGTGAATAAAATATTGGCTCATGTGATTCGAAAGTCTTTTAGTCTTTATTTTATTCAAATTTAAAGAATGTTCCAACTTTTCCGGAATTTGGGTTGTTTGTATGTTTACTAATGTTTGCAGCAAACTATTTTGTGGATAAAAGCTACTTCAACGTCTCCCCTTCTTACTTTTTTTGCTGTTATTATTATTAATTATTATCATTATTCTATTATCCCTATATTATCATTATAGTGGTTCTTTTGCCCTGTGCCTCTGGGTGGGGCAGGTCACCCGATGTATCGGGGTTGGGTCACTGAGCTGCCGTGGGGTGGGGGCCCTCCAGGGGCCGCCCTCCCGCCTACTGGTCTCTCCCACCTTAGGCTGGGCCAACCTGCAGGCTCCACTTCTTTTAATGCATCACACCAGAACAGCCTTCTGTCTCCCACTCATACAGACACACACACAAAAACACCCTAGAAAAGGGGCGGCATGACATGCAGGGTGTGGTCTGTCTGGGGTGGGGGGTCATGGGTGGGGCGCTGTCCTGGAGGTTGCGTGCCCCTCCCTCTGGGCCGCTCACGGTGTGCGGTGGGTCGGCCTGCCAGAGCCCATGGGGAACACGGGGCGATTCCTCAGGCCTTGGCTGGATGCAGAGATATTTTGGCCAAATACCCCCCCCCCCCATCAATTTCCCCTTTGCTCCTCCTTCTCATCACTTTCATCTCTGCCGCCCAAAGTATCGCTTTCACTTTCCCCATTGCACAAAGGGACACGTACACACACAAACACAGACACACACACACAAAAATAAATAAATAAAAATTAAGGTCACAAGTGGCACAGAGACAATAAATTAATAGGATGATGTGCTTTTGTAACCATATTTCACCGTAACAGTCTCTGCCATGTTGTGAATAGTTTAATCAACATGATTTATTTTATGAAGAGATAAAGGTATATTGTTTACAGTATTGACCAAAAATGCCTTTATTTGAGACGCAACCCGTTAAAAAGGGGGGGGGGGGACTTTTTGTCTGCTTCAGAATGCTTCACGGACATGACCTCCACTCCTGGGCTGGACATGACGTTATGCAAAGTATAGGATAGAGATACTATTATTGTTGTTGTTTATAATTATTATAGTATTATTATAATGGTTCCTATGATTATATATGCATATATCAACCCGATCTCACGAATTTTCGTGCAGCCATCACGACTTAAAATCTATTTAAACGTGCTGTGATCACGTTTTCGGCTTTTTTTACGTGCTGGGGTAACGTTTCCTCTCCCTATGTGTTTTAATGGGCAGTGCCTAACACCGCCACTATGAGTGCTAACTGGTGACTAAGTGACGGGAAAGTCATGCATGCCCAGAATCATATTGTGTTTTTTGTGATATGATAACGCTTTCCATAACGTGTGACGCGCTGTTTTGCAAGGTCGCGTCACACGTTATGGAAAGCGTTATCATATCACAAAAAACACAATATGTGTAAGCCGAAAACGTGATCACAGCACGTTTAAATAGATTTTAAGTCGTGATGGCTGCACGAAAATTCGTGAGATCGGGTTGCATATATACACTCACCTAAAGGATTATTAGGAACACCATACTAATACGGTGTTTGACCCCCTTTCGCCTTCAGAACTGCCTTAATTCTAT